GGAATGTGAGCACACACACCCAAAGACAACGGGTTGCAGTCTCCTAAGAAGTAACAGACACAATGAATTTCAGTGGGTCTACTCTGAGTATAACTTCATTGGTGGCAAACCATGACGTTAAGAATTGTAAAATATCCATGAAGAGGAAGAGAAGAGTTTGGATTTGATATCCCGCTTTATCACTACCCTAAGGAGTCTCAAAGCAGCTAACATTCTCCTTTCCCTTCCCCACAACAAACACTCTGTGAGGTGAGTGGGGCTGAGAGACTTCAAAGAAGGCCCAAGGTCACCCAGCAGCTGCATGTGGAGGAGTGGAGTTACGAACCCGGTTCACCAGATTACAAGACTACCGCTCTTAACCACTACACCACACTGGCTCTCAATGAGATAAATGTAAGAAACTACCCAGTTATTGAATCAGTTGTACAGACTCAGTTGATTTAAATCTCTAGATTGTTCCCTCTACATAAATGTGGATCATAGAATCATAGAGTTGGAAGGGACCCTGAGGATCATATAGTCCACACCCCTACAATGCAAGAGTATGCAGCTGTCCCATACAGGGATCAATCCTGCAACCTTGGCATTACCGGCACCACGCGCTGACCAGCTGAGCTATCCAGGATGATCCCGGGTCTATGGCAGAAGACTGAAAGGTTCAATTTCAAGCAACGTTGTCGGGGTGAAGGTTGCGCACCCATGTTCACTGGGTTGTGGGCTGGAGAAAAATTATTGCTTCCTTTTCCCTCTGCCCTCTCCTGCCTTGCTCATCAAATAGCTACTGGATTCTCTCAACCAAGCCATTTCTTTTATTATGTCAGTTATGGTTTTTGTTCAAGCATTTCTATTTATTGCCTGATCTTTTCAAATTAAATATCATCTGATCCCCGTAGATAAAAAAAATAAACCTCTGGTTTACATAAAAATAAACATTTCTGAGTGTGCTCCCCCACCCACCCACTAGTGATTTTCTTCTTCTTCTTTTTCCTGAGCTCTCTGTCTTTCTGAAACACTCTGGCAACTGAACAAGACTTATATAGGAAATCTCTTATTTGGGAAATTTGTGAATAATCACTTTCTCTGGTTCATACATCACGGAAACTTAATTTTCAAGAGACCATCCTCAGATCTCAAATTCAACAGGAAAATCCTCCTTATTAGAGTAACAGATCAATTAATAATTCAGCAACATTCTGTCACTTTCACGTGTCACTTTCACTTTTCACAGAGGGGGGAAATGTCTGTCTGTCCCCCCTGCCATTTTATGCACAGATTAACAGAGAAGGGAAAGGTGTTCCATCTGTTTATGCTTTATTACTAAAGATTTCCAAGCCTTAAATCTCCTTTGCTTTTCTTGTAGTGTGTTGCATTTAATAGTTGATTCAATTGCATAATCAGTTAACGAAAGCAGATACAATAGCAGGGGGTTGTTGGGTTTTGTTTTTGTTTATTGTCTAGTCCCACCGTCTTGATCTCAGGGTGAGATTGTGATGTGTGACTCCCATTTCCCCTTCAGCTCAGCATTAAGATAATTGCATAATAAACTACAATCAATGAGGACCTTTAAATATTGCCACTTTATTCTCAGATGTTATTGTTTTTAAACACAAATCCTGACATCCAATTTTGGCTAACACATATAAAGTGGCATTCAGTGTCGAAGGCCCATTTGTCTGGAGGGCCGGAAAACCTAAAAGCTGGTTTATCTTAGTTATTAGATGTCTTATATGAGAAATATTTATGCTTTCTATAAACAGGAGGAGGTGAACATTCTGGAGTTTCTGCTTTTAATTCCATAAAATAAGTAAACAATTTCTCACTAGCTCATATTTCAACATTTCAGTTCTTTTTTATTTATTTTTGTGTGTGACTATTTTCTCATTGGCTTGTTGGGGCTTGCTGGCAGAAAATATGCTGCATGAGTGAGCCAAACCGCAGTAAATGATTCGGTCTAACCCGGAGAGGCTCCGCCATTTCTTTTTATAATTCATAATAAGATGTGACATGTCAATTTAAACAAAATACACAATATTTGCTGACGGCAGTGAAAACTTTATATTAAAATAATGTGTTGCTGTTAAGAACAGATAATTGAGCATACCAAACTGGTAGGTCCTGTCTAGCAAAGGAAAAGCAGGAACACTAATGTCTCCTTAGAAAAGGATAACAATAATGCAAATAGAGCTTTGTATCTGGAATGTGATACACTTTCCAGTTCTGACCACTTGGGAACAATTATCTGGGAAAATATTTGTTCTTTAAATCTGAAGGTGAAAGACAACATATTCCAATTAAAGTGAACATTTCATTTTCAAAGGAATGGGGAAATTATTAGTAGATGGCATGATTATCATTATTATTATTACTGCTACCGGACACCTGTAATGTCTACATTTTCTTTTAATCATTTTGTTTCTCGAGTTAACAATTCTCCTCCCCCAGCAGACAACTATCTTCCATCATCTTTTGTCATACAAATATACCCAAAGGATAAGACGAATCGCAGAGCCTTTTATATTGTCAGTAGTTCTTGACATTTTGTTTTCATGTTGTTGAGATTTACATGCTCATCTTCAAAAACACCTGCACTAGGAAAACCCCCATTGATTTTTGAGGATTAAAGCTTTAAAATGACTCAAACTCTAGAGCAAGGGACCCCAAAGCTCCTATCTCTTTACAAACAGCAACACCTTCATCTGCTTATGATCTATATGAAGACATCAGTTTACATATACAGACTCTGATGATCCACTAGAGTGTTTGCAGAGCAGCTAGAATATAGCTCTAAAAGAAGAAGAAGAAATCCTGCCAATCAGATGTTTGAAAGGGAAGGAGGGGACTGAATTCAGTCCCCATCACCCGCTCTTGAACAGCTAATTGGCAGAATCTTGGCTTTTTTTGAAAAGGGATGTGCTCACAGAGCACAAAAGATTAGGGAACTGTACACACGCTAACCTTTGTGATGCTCTAGCCAGAGATAAGCAAGTGAAAACCTGCTTCCTTGTATCTATAGCTCGTAGCTCAAGGATGAAGAGCCTGTGGCTATCCATATGTGGTTGGACACCAGCATGACCAATGGTCAGATCTGAAAAGAACCCAGAAAAATAAGAAGAACCTACTGGATTCAGGCCAGCCACCCAACTAGTCCAGTATTGTGTTTTCACAGTGGCCAACCAGATGCCTGTGGGAAGCTTATAGGTAGGATTTGAGCACAAGAGCCCTCATCCCTCCTGTGGATTCCAGCAGCTGGTCTTCAGATGCATTGATGCCTCTAGTGATGGGCCTTGGAGTCCAGTTATGCGTCACAGGTTCCCCATCCCTGGGATAGCTCAGTCAGTAGAGCATGAGACTCTTAATCTCAGGGTTGTGGGTTTGAGCCCCACACTGGGCAAAAGATTCCTCCATGGCAGGGGGTTGGTCTAGATGACTCTTCTGGTCCCTTCCAACTCTACAGATCTGTGATCCCTGTTCTAATTAGGTTGGGATGACACTGACCTGCTTTTTTCAAATAAAAGTAACAACCTCAAAGTTGGTGAGTACCCTTTCCAACTGGTCTAATCTTCCATCTTGTCTCTTTCTATTGTTAGGGAAAGAGAGGGGCAAAATACATCTCCTCTCCACAGCTATGATCAGCACAAAGTGCTTCTATACTCATAAACTTCACAGAGGCTTATAAAGACAATCTGTACTTGTTGAAGAGCCAGGATGTATGTGTTACACAGCATGAGTAGCTTCCCATCCTGCTACCACCAGCACTCTTATTAATGGAATTGTTGCAACCATATGGCTGAAGCTACGTCACAATAATGTACTTATTAGGCAAGCATGCTTTACAAAGTACACAATTTATGCAGGTATCACCTATTGTTAATTTCCGTTCATATCATAAATGTGATGTTACTGTATTCTGACCATATGTTTTCCAGCTCCTCACACACAGAGTTCATAAACTTCCTAAAAACATAAAAGCTGACAAACTGATAAGATTCTTAATGCACCCTGTTTCACAAGGAATTTTGGGAGAAAGGACTAAAATCACAACAAAAAAGTGGATGTTGCCTAGACTGATGGAAGTGATTAATGAAAGTTGAAATTAATATAGGTGATGTAAGTGCAAAGAATAGTACAAAGTCATCTACAGCACTGGGCTGTATGAACAGTGACATTTTTACAATGGGTTTTAAGCAGAGTGAACTGATTCTAAAGTACAGGAGCTTGAACAGAACAGAGAATCATTTTTAAAGGGTACACTATAAGATGATGGGTAAAATGGCTGTCTCAAAAAATTATGTCTTTTCAAAAACTAAAACCTTTGTGAGTTCTAAAGAAACTCTTTTGACAAATGGATTCTTGCTTTTCACTCACTAGTTTCATTTCTGTTCTTCTCATGCCCCAAATAATATATTGGTATTAGATTAAACCATGGTTTATCAGATCTCCTCCCTCCCCTACATGCCTTCATGCAATACTTCTAGGATTTGTAAAACCATAGTTTCATGGTACATCTAAACAGAGGGACTGTGGCTAAGCTCTGGCTGCAAACCAGGATTGCAACCCATGTTTTATCAGACTGAAATATCTGAACTGGACCAATGAACCCCAGTGCAATCTGAGTAAACATGCCTATTTATTTATGGTGGTATAAACATTTTTACACCGCTTTTAATCAAAACATGATTCCAGGTCTTTTTACAAAACATAAGTAAAACCAAGTAACAGTCATAATTTTAGAAAATCAACAAATAAACAGACATAAAATCAACAGACATAAAATGAATTCACCTCCAGTATTCTTATCCATCTGAATGCCAGTCTGAAACGTTTATACCTTGGATTGGAAACTTCAGAGAGATTAGGGATTCTATTGTTGTTTCACACACTCTGGTGTCATTCAGGCTCCCTTCCTGACTTGTTGGAGGTTGACTCACATTTGAAGAACGCTCAGGATGATTTTTCAGGGAGATCTGAACATCCATCTGAGGCAGCTCTGGCCTCCATGGCTCCAATAGGGCTGTCCAGACTTGTCGTTGGCACAATATATTTAACAGGGCACACACTTGAGTTGGTTTTTCTGCAACCTGTCAAGAAGATGGGTGGGTGATTTCACATAGACTCCTCAGTCATTTCCTGTTGATTTTTCATATCAAGTATGAATCCCACCCTCATCTTTGAGGTAGTTACAGGCACAGAAAGATTCCTTCTATATATGTTGACTTAAATCTCTGGTTATATTTTGAAGACATGTATTTAACATGCATTTAACAGACATCTGAAGCTGTCTGGAAGACTGATGAGCCTTTGGGATTGGAACTGGGAGTTAGGCAAAGCTCAGAAGAGTTTCTGGTGTTACTAGAGTCTGTCTACTCGAAGCAGGCCTCTGAAAATCCTTCCAGCTCCTCATTGCAAATGGCACCCTCCAATACCATTTCAGTTACTATTAGTAACTCAATCGAAACACTGCCAATAGTCTTTGTCAAGTAAATTTTATTATTTATTAGGTAGTTCATTGTCAAAGGAAATATATGCACACGGGATGTGTGCAGCTCAATTAACTGATACATATGCATGTGCCAGAGAGAACTGCAATTGCAGATGGTGCTTTCTTGTTTACTCCACAGCCACACCT